GGCTCAGTGGTTGAGCTGCGACCTAGGATCCAGGCGATCGCGGTTCGATTCCCGATCAGGGCACATGCCCAGGTTGTGGGCTCGATCAGTGACTCTCTCATCATTGATGTTTCTATCTCTCTCTCTCCCTCTCCTTTCCTGTCTCTGAAATCAATAAAGATATATTTAAAAAATAAATAAATAAAAATAAAAAACTGATTTTAGAGAGGGAAGAAGGGAGAGAGAATGAGAGACAGAAAGAGAGAGAGATGTGAGAGAAACACATCCATTGGTTGCCTCCAGTACACACCCCAACCGGGGATTAAACCTGCAGCCTAGGTACATGCCCCGACCAGGAATCGAACCCGGCATCTTCTGGTGCACAGGATGACGCTCCAGCCAACTGAACCACGCCTGCCAGGTCTATATGGGAAAATTTTAAATTCATGATGAAAGTGGGAAAATAAGGAAATGTTGGCATTTCATATAGTTTCTAAAAGTGAAAAATCCTGATTTTTAAAAATTAAAATCTCTAATATTGTGGTAAAATATACATTACATAAATTTACAACTTTAACCAATTTTAAGTGTACAGTTCAGTGGCATTAAAGGTGTTCACATTGTTTTGTAACCATCACCAAAATCAGTACCATTCATTTTCCAAACTTTTTATCTTCTCAAACTGAAACTATATACGCATTATCACTAACTTCCCATTCCCTCTCCCCAGCCCCTGGCAACCACCCTTCTACTTTTTGTCTCTATGAATTTGACTACTCTAGGTGCCTTACATAAGTGGAACCATACAGCACTTGATTTCTGAATTGATATGATTTCCCTTATAATATACTCCAAATGGCGCAGGGTAATATTTTTGGAAATATTTTTAAACCTAAGTAATCGTATTAAAAACAATGGAAACAGACCAGGGACATGTATAAAACCTCTGAGGGAAGTGGTTGTGTGGGGCCTGTGCAGCTCCCACCCTTCGTGAAAGGCTCCTTTGGCTGGGCTTTGCAGAATGTCTGGAGTTGTCTTCCTCCTGTAGCAGCCAGGTCCCCAGACCAGGGGCTTAGGGGGCACCTCATGGGCATGAGGACCAATAGCATCCCTAGAGCCAGATGATCATATATGGTCCTAGTGAAAAACACAAACCCTTACCCCTCAGGGCTGATAACCTACTTCCAACCAACCTAGGCAAGTGGGATCTAGAGCTGGAATTTAATTTGATGTAGACAGAAATGTGACTCCTATTCACCTTGAGTTTTTGGAGCCCTTATACCTTTATATACATATGAATGATAATATTGTTGCTAACCTCTCATCCTTTTAATTTCAGCTTAAATATACTCCTCTGCATAGCGTTTCCACAATGTGCAGACTAGATCAAGTTCCCTTTTACATGCTCTTAGGCCATTGTATATATCCTTCATAACAGTTAGCAAAATTAAATAAAGAACTGTGGTACTGTTTGTTTACTATCTTCCCCCGCTTCTCTAGTTTACTGATAAAACCCCAGCATTCCCAGCATCTAAGATGTAGTAAATACTTAATCAATTTTTATTGAATATGTCCTAAGAGATTTAAGATCAAAGCAGTGCAAACCTAAGACAAAACTGGATAAAAACATTTTTACAACCCTTTTTCTGATTCTGTGGTGATTTTGCATAGCCCGCCTCGCCCCCCAGCCTCACCCAGTGAGGACCATACTTCCTCATTTATGCCTGTTGTCTTGGTGTAGTTGTTAATAGCACTTCCCTTTACTCTCAAAAGTATCTCAGTTGCAATAAATTTTAAAGCTGCCCTAAGTTTAAGTCATCTTTATCATGGTATCAGCAAATAGTCAAGCCAATAAGAAGTTTTGACCAACATGAGATAGTGTTAGCATACTGAGTAGATATGATTATAGCCAAGAGCAGGGAACATGATGTTTTTGTCAGTCAGACATTGGCAAGCACATGGCAGGAATGGGGCACTCCACCACCACCTGTCCTATGACAATAGCACTGATTAGCCATGGCAGCCACTACGAATTGATCAGATAGAAAAATTTTCCTTTCTTGAGATTAGCCTGAACAGGTAGTCCTCTCTAGGGCTTTTTCAGATATTAAGATCATATATCTGGAATGCCCAATACTATTTCTGTGGAAACCCTAAGTTGAGAGCCACCTTAACTTAGTAAACACCATGAGGTTCTGACATCAGACAGGTATAGCTAGCTTTACATCCTGCTTCTGCCACTTCCTGGCTGGGTGACTGGGCAAGAAACCAAAGTTGTCTAGGTCTCAGTTTCCATACCTATACATTGAAGCTAAAAATATTGAATTGTTAGCTACCATACTGAATTGTTAGGAGGATTAAATATAATTACTTAGATGAAGAAAACATCATAGAGTAAGCTCTGAACATAGAGCTCTCTTCTCCAACTCTCTCCTTTTTTTCCTGATACTTTGGACTAAGGTTTGAATTTCAGTCATGAAGACAGACCTTGGGGAGAAGTTTGTAGATCAGGAATTTTCCCGAGATACCTCAAATTTCATACCCTTTGAGGGTCATTGTTCCACTTACTCCTAAGACAGGTTTTAAAGATAGAAATTTGACTTATATATTTTTTATAGCTTTTACTCCTCATAGAATGAGGTTGAACTGGCAGCACATAGTTGTATTAAATATACTTGAACTGTAATAAAAGTAGTAGGTTCAAGCCTTTGGAACTCTACCAGATGAGATACAAAAGTAGATTTTCAAGTCCAATTTTATTTATTCATTCATTCATTTACTTATTTCTTTTTCTTTCTTTTTCTTTTTTTTAATATATCTTTATTGATTTCAGAGAGAGGAAGGGAGAGGGAGAGAGAGTGATAGAAACATCAATGATGAGAGAATTGTCATTGATCAGCTGCCTCCTGCAGGCCCCCA